CTGGTACTGACTTCACAACATATCCTTACTACTTTGGTATTCAATTCAAGTTCCACCAAGCTGCCATTCCAGATAGCTCGGAAAGGTAGATCGAAACTATACACTTCTGGTTCACATGTTTGCCAGCATGTAGTACAAAATACTTATATGATTATAGAACACATATTCAATATTGACTTTTCTTAAAATAAAAGATAAATATTATATAAAAATTTGATCTATGATAATTGAAGTAGAATAAATAGATGTTAAATGTAGTCAAAAAAATACTTGAAAAAATGTTCTTGTAAGAGAATATTCATGCTAAAGATTAGATAAATACTGCTGATATATATAGTAAGCTGAAAAAATTTACAGTTAATGAAGAGTTAGAGTAAGATGAAATCTCAAAAGTCTTTACAATTTAAAAATAAATATCATAATATTACAAAACATTCTTAGAACATGTACAAGAACTGCATTAGACTCTAATTTAGATAATAGCTTTTCATCAAGTAATATATAATTAAAATAAAATACATGTTATTTTTGTTTTTTGATTTCAATGTATTTATTTACTTAGTTTTTTTTTTAATTTTTTTTTTTTGTTTCTAATTTCAATCTAATTTGTTTATATGTCAATCAGTTTTTTTTTTATAGCTTTTTGGAGCTATAAGAAAAAAAAATAAAAAATAAAAGTTTTATTAAATGTCTTAAAAAAAGACAAGTACTAAGTAAATTTGCCTATTTGAAATTACAATTTATACAAATTGACACTTATTTTTGGACTGAAAATGCTACTTTATGTCAAATGGAACTTTTTAACAAATGATTGCTACAATCTAAGACTTGTCCACAATATTGTTCATGCTCCAATGCATTTAAATATAACAAAATTATCCTTATATTAATAGTCACAAAATCATGTTAGCTTTGAACTAAAAAAAGATTATCAGATATTATTTTTTTTTTTTTTTAAATATTAACGGTGATTATCAGATATTATTTAGTAATGATCTGCATCACATTTTATTAATAAATTGATTTTCATTCGAAAACAGTATATCAATTAATAAAGTAAAAAGACCAAAAAGGCTACTTTAAAAAAAAAAAAATTAGTATATTAAATCATTTGATTTATAAATAACAGCAATAGAAACTCTTGTATAAAAACATATTCTATAACTAATATATATTTAATATAAAATACCTTTGGTAAAACTGATCTCTGGATATACATATTAGACAATCTCTTTATTTTTTAAGATGTTAATATAACCGGAGTGATGTATATTCTTTGTTTTATTATTAATAAAAATTTAAAAAATTTATTCTATAAATATTATAACTAATTTTCACCCTAAGTGATATCACCCAATATTATAAAATATTATTACAAGTAAATAAATTTAATATTAGGAGTTAGGGATGGTTTTAGGTTAAATTAAAAAAGTTAAAATTTAACACTGGAAAGTTTTGCTTAGAAGTCAAAGCATGGTTTTTATAATAACATCTTGAGTTCTTCTCTTTGTTTTGGTTACATAAGATCCAGCGACCTGATCGGTTTTTATACAACCAGGTGATATCACCTAAAGTGAAAATTAGCAATAGTCTTTTATAAAATTCATTTATAAAAAACGTAACAATTTTGTATTTATATAATTTGAGATAAAAATCCAACAGTTGACATTTGTATAAACATAGGTAGTTATATAAATGTTGTACGTCAAAATTTTGATTTTGACGATTTTAAATCGACAATAAACTTGAAAAATAAGAGAATTCAAATTCTACTTAATATATATATTGATTTAAATAATTAATAAAACTCGGTTTATTAAAGGATAACCAAATATCAACCTTTTTTTTAATAGTCCACTGATATGCAAGTCTTGAGTATATAGGCTTTTTTTTTATCTATAATAATTATTTTAGATTGTCCAGAAACTTCAAATCACGAGTGCGATTTATTTAATATATCCATTTGGCTTGATGACTTTTATGGCATTAGCTGTAACTAATGCCGAATATAAATCTTCAATCAAATCGTTTACATCCTGTATAGATGATGTAAATCAGTTATAACGTGGAAAAGTATTTTTCATAGTTTTAAGTAAAACTTACTTCAATTCCAACACATAAACGAATCAAATCTTCTGGAAAACCTCTTTCTTGCCGCACTGCCGCAGGAATACTCGCATGTGACATTCTACATGGCATACTTAAATTCAAATAGATAGTTATCTTAAGATATATGAGTTTTTATAAAATAATTAGGTGCTCACCCGTTGTTGAACAACAGGGTAATGTGATATGAAAATATCATGTGATCCGACGCATATAGACATAAAACTTTTATAATATAGATTTCTCACCTTATTAACGAATTGACACATCCAAAGCTGACACTAATGGACCATAATTTTGTGGATTCTACTACTCGTTCACTAATTTCTACATCGTTAGTTACAAAACTCAATACGGCTCCAGGTCCACGGGACATAGTGGTGTGTATATCGTACTGTGGGTGTGACCTTAACCCAGGATACATAACTTTAAACCCATGATATTCAAGAAATTCTGCTATCCGCATTGCGTTAGCCTGTTGCTTTTCCATACGGACTGCCAAAGTCTTGATGCCCCGAAGTAGCAGCCATGATTCAAATGGTGTAAGACCACACCCAGTTGCATTAATGGTAAAATGAATTTTCTGCAATGAAAAAGTAGGTAGGTATCAGGATCGCTCTATCAAACAAAATTATAATATTTGCACATTTGTAAGATAAACTGTCATGATCATTTAATGCCTCGATCTTTCTTTACCTCTGCAACAACTTCATCCTTAACACCAATCACGCCTGCCATTAAATCATGGTGTCCACTAAGGTATTTTGTTCCAGAATGTATCACGATGTCTGCACCGAATTCCAGTGGTCTTTGAAGGTAAGGTGACATCATGGTATTATCAACTACTATCAAGGCATTTGGGCATCGCTCGTGCACGATCGATGCAATTTTTGGAATGTCTGAAATTTTGATTAATGGATTTGTAGGTGATTCTAGGAGAATAAGACGAGTCCTTGTGGGATGTAGGTAGGGTAAAAGTGCATCCGGATTTGTTGTATCAACATGATGTGATTTGATGTCAAAACTTTTATTAAGAAACGAAAGAAGTCGATTTGTGCCTAAAACGTAAAGGAAAAAATAGTTTAAATTGTACCTTTCATTATCATAGTACAATAAAATAAGATCTTACCTCCGTATAAATCATCACCAGCGATTATCTCCTCGCCCGTTTTGACCAAGCGAGCTACTACGTCCAATGCACTCATACCACTACTCACGACATAGGCACGACTTGCAGACATGATTTTGGCGAGATGATTCTCTGTATAGATATTAAATTCCAAAAGGTTATATATTCTAGCAAACTAATTAAGTACTCAGGAAAAAAATTACCTAAGTGAGAACGAGTAGGATTTCCGCTTCTCGTATAATCAAATTCCTCCATTCTTGATGTTGATGACTGTTTGAATGTCGCTGTTTGATAAATCGGTATAGAAGAAGCATTATAAAGATCTCTAACACCTGTTCCATCCGAATTGTCTATAAAAACTAACTCAGTCGCAAGACTGTAATTTTTCCGGGCTGACCCTTGAGAGGGCACGAATGGTCCTGGTTCCATTATTTTTCAGATAACGATAAGGTATATTTTGAAGGATTGAAATTATTAAACCAAGTTTTTGTGTTCAATCCGGCACGTGATTTTTTTTTTTTTTTTACACATTTATATCATGAAAATTCCAAACTTTTAGGACCTCTCTTTCACAAAAAGAACGATTTAATATAATAGATAAATCGTTAATAAAGATGGCACACGATCAAGTTTGGTTCTCTCGCCCACGTCGCTACGGAAAAGGCTCTCGAGAATGGTACTTTTAATGCTAGTTGAATAACTTTCAATGGTAATGAGATCTAACGTTTATATTTATCAAATTATATGTAATAAAAAGCCGGGTTTGTGCCCATCGAGCTGGTTTGATCCGAAAATACAACCTTAACGTTTGCCGTCAGTGCTTTCGTGAATACTCCAAAGATATTGGTTTTATCAAGGTAATCGATTGATTGAATAAAATATAAAAAAGCATTTCATTTAAAATTCTCATTTTACTCTTAATCTTTGATTAATAGTATCGTTAACCAGTTTTGGAGCTTAATTATTAATTTTACTTATTGAGGCGAAATCTGTTGGTATTAATGCAATACATCCAAAATGCTTTGAATGAAGTAATCATTCTTGATCAAATGATTTTTTGTACAAAGTTCCGCAATAAAAAAATCTGTTGCCTTTAACAACAAAGAATTATAATTAGTTTAATCAAAAATCAAATGTTCATTATGTTCTTTTTTATGAGGTAACATTACACTTCTCATGGTATTTACCTCCTCTATTCTTGCGTGGAGGATTCATCGTATTGCGAGTGTATTCGAAAAAATTGAAATGTTTTGGGCTAAAAAGAAATTGTTAATTATGAAATTGTATCAATAGATTCAATTTGTTACATACTGAACATTACTACAATTCGGTCCTTGAGGACAAAATCCCGTAATGTACAAAGGGCATATGACACGTCGAATATGTTTATTTGGACAAACAGGGCCTTAAAAAGCAAGGTAAGCTAATTACTCTCAACATCAAATTTACTTAAAAGAACATTCATAAAAGTCATTAAGTACCGCGGCTACAAAATCCCCGCATGTAGTCTCTACATTTTCGACGTAATTTAATCCCTTTATTATCCATTTGGTGAGAGAACACGCACATAACTCGATTACAATTTCCATGAGCTGTGATGTAAAAAGAATTTTTTTAGATCATTTGCTCTGATTTTTGTTTCTTTTTACCTGATTATCCAATTTTTTGAATATAAACCATGCCTTTCATCGTTGGACATATAGGCATGTTGTTAAAATCATAAGTATGCAAGTATGAACACTGATTACGAAAGCAAATTCCAATTAACCAGTGCTTGCAAACAGTTTTTTGACCGTCTTGTTTCTTATTATCATCTGTTATGTGACAAACAAGCTATTCAATATATTTCTAAAAAAAAAAACAATTCAATAAAGACAATAGAAATGATGGGATTGATCACTTTTTTTGGATGAAACTGGTTTAAGAATTTCATTTTCATAGATGAAAGATTCAAAGTCGAAATTTAATGTGCGAAAATTAGAATCAAAAAGGTTTGGTGCCATCACAATTAGATTAATCAAAAATTAAGGTCAAGTTCAGCATGCAAGATTAAGAAATATACCTTGAATTCGAATACGTTGATAGAATGACAATTGCCATTATCTATTGAGTCATTATGCGTATTAAGTATACTTGCATGATCTCGTTACGTATAAATGTCAGCACATTTTTACATTGGTCATAAAAAGAAAATTCGAAAATAAATTTTGAAGTCCCTTAAACCAATCACATATATTACATATCATTCCTCGGATAATATTAATACGTATTCACTTATCATACTATCGTTATGCTTCTTTTATTAGATTATATGTGAGCCCGCTTTTTGATCTACATATCGATATATAAAAGTAAATTTTATAAATATTTAAAAAAGAAAACTTTTAAACTTACGACCATGTCACAACAAGACGAAGAAAGGTATATCATTTGCTATTATTTCACCTTTTTAGCTATTAATATGTGCAGAAGCTTTAAAACAATATAATTGATAGACTACAAGGAGAACCCCTTGATGAGCAAGTTCAAGAAGCTCTTGATAAAGTGACTGATTTAAGAGAAGGTGACGAAGATGAGGATGAAGGAAAATTGTTTGAAGAATTAGAAAATGACGACGACTCTGTGATTGCAAACATTCGCGAACGAAGGATGGAACAACTGAAACAAGAGTATGCATCTGAAAAAAAATTATAGCGATCTATTTAGATCCGATTTATTGGTTTATTTTATTCTTCTATATGCGTTCAATGAGCAGAATGACAAAATTACAAGAAATGCGTCAGAACGACCATGGTTCATACACTGAAATTACTGACGAAAAAGAGATTCTTAAGATAACTACTACTTCAAAACTTTGTGTCGTACATTTCTATCACAAAGAATTTCGAAGATGTCAGATTATGGACAAACATCTTACGGTATGTTTCTAGCACATGTTTCATCGAAAAATATCAATTTACTCTAAAACCCTATTATGATAAATAGACAATATCAATTCGTCATTTCAAAACAAAGTTTGTAAAAATAAATGTCGAAAATGCACCTTTTTTGGTTGAAAAACTCGCGATAAAAGTTTTGCCTTGCGTCATATCTTTCATAGACGGAATTTCTGTGGATAGGTAAACATTTTGCAGTTCGAATTTGATCAAAATTAGTTTAGACTGTTCTTTACATACGACTTGTTTCTAGGATCATCGGTTTTGACGATCTTGGAAATACTGATTCATTTACTACAGCAGCACTCGAACTTCGATTATCCCAAAGTGGTAATTAGAATATATTTTCCTACATAAAATGTGATCATTTGTTATTTTTCTAAAATTTAACTTACTCTAATCCTATTAGGTGTCATAACGAAATTAGAAGCACCAAAAAAACAAGAACGCAAAACCATATTCGGATTCGCAGATGTGAACAATGATGACGATGAATGGGATTAAGATGCTGTTTAACCATTTTGTATCATAGTGATAGAATAATTTAATATTTTTTTTGGCACTACTTTTATTGTCAATGATGATGCACATATACGATTTTCTAATCTTTAAGTATATTTATTTACTCGTTGGGTAATAAAGAAAATACTCAATACTAATTTAATAAATATCATCTGAGCGAATCTTTTAAGGCTTTCCTCAGGATTAACTTTGTCGTGGATTGACCGCCAAAATAAAAAGGCTGTTTATTTTATATATACTTGTTATTTATGGTTATAAAGGAACACAAAAGTATTATTTCACGACTATTTAGCAAAATTTTCATTTTATAATTCTATACGAGTTTATTAAAACATACAATTGCTAGATTTCAAAAAACTAACTAGAAACCAAGTCAACCTCGTTATAACAAGTGATCGGTTTCATTAATAAAATTTTATATAAATTCGAGTTTGACTTCACTATATCGAGATTTTAATTAGTCTTTACTGTATCGAGGGTTCATTATAATGAGAATCATTTGTATTAAGTAAAATGTTCAAAATCTCAAAAACTTAAAAATAAACAAATTTAGAAAAAATTTTTAATCAAAAAAATTATTTACAAATTTTTGGTGAATTTTTTAAATATTAATTTTAAGCTTATAGTTCTTAATACAATATTTTAGTTTATATAAAGGATGACAATTTTTATTAGTAACACTTTTGCAATTTACTTAT